TTAAAGCACAAGAATTAGAAGTGTAGTTGCACATCATCACTGTATTTCTTTTTTTTTTTTTAGTAGAAAGGAGACATACAAAATGAAGGCAGTTCATTATAAGTGCTGAATAAGTGAAGAAGTAAGTACTGTGTTTTTACTTACTACCTTTGTAATTTTTGTCTTTTATGTAAACTCTCTCAACCTCAGTTTATTCATGTACAAGTTGGGGATGATATAAAGTACCTTCTCTTCTGTGAAGAGCAAATGAGCAAACATTGCTAATTTTGCATTTCTAGAGAAGAGACACAAGGCTAACACAGTGTCTTAAATCTCAAATCAGTTCAAATAATAGCTTAAAATTTCCTCTTCATTATAAAAATAATTATTTTGTCCAAAAATTTTTGCATGCATGTCTGTACATAGTATAAGAATCTCCAGAGAGTCATGAAATCTGTTAGATTCAAAGTTTAAGATATGATCAACAACATATCACCCAGAATTAGATACAAATAAGGGCAAAGAAAACTTGAAGTGGCCTTAAAAATGTTTTAAGACGGGGTGCAAGATTTGCTTCTTCCTTAGAGCTAAGCTTTCCCAAGATTTGACCCCAACAGTCAAATGTACTTCTCAAATTTTCTTCTAGGGGACAGCAGTGCTCTGGAATTTTGCAAGTGTTCATGTGTCACTCTTGAAACCTGGTTGAGAGGCTCAGGTATTCTTCATAGCAGGACAATGAAAGGAAATGAATGTTCTAATTATGTCATAGCATAGTGGTATTAAAATATGAGTTCACCCAAAGTTGTTAATAGAAAGGGTTGTTGGGCATATTCATTTAAAAATATCAGAAATCATTGCACTTTAGAGAAAAAATATATTCCATAGGGCTGTTTAAATATCAAAGAGAATACTTATTTCTCTACTTACTGTGTAGACTTTATTTTTACCATTCTACTTAATACATGTTGTGCTAGTACTTAAGTCATGGTTACTAGACATGCATATATGTTTACAGAATATAAATCAGAGACACATTTTAAGTATGAGAAAATAAGCTGTCTTAAACACAACACTTTCCCCAAAACTGTAAAAGTAATTTTAGGAGGAAATATGGATAGAAACAATTCTGAACAGAGATTTCTTGAATTTTCCTTGAGTTGTTAGAAAAAAAAATACATTAAATTGATGTGTTTTTTTTTTTTTGAAAAGGGATTATGATTTTGAAAAATAATCCAGAGTCCTGAACAGAAATCTATTCACAACTCTTGACTTCTATACTAGTTGTACCTGTTTGAGACACTAAACCATCATAAATCTTGATACAAATTTATACATGGATTTTTATTTCTCATATAAGCCACATACAGTGACAGCTTTAGTGATGGGGAGCTTATTGAAATATTTGGAAAGCTTTCTTTTATAGTTTGTTGTTGTTGTCATGTTGTTTGCTGTTGTTGTTGTTATACTATCTGCTAGACTTTGGTCCTAAATTCTCCAGATGGGATCTGCGCACAAAGAGCAAGATGACCCAGAGGGGCATGGTTATCCTGCAAGAGAAGATGCTGGCCCCATCAACTGCTTCTACAACTCAATTCACGGTCTTCTTTTTTCCACAATCATTACCTGGGTGAGATGAGGACCTCCTTTACTTTACCTCATTTCAGGAAAGTCTTTTCTTCCTGATAATTTGTCCATAATTTTTATTTAATGATATTTCGGTATTAAAATGAGGGTAAAGTAAAGGGGAAACAATGTTCAAGTTTCTGAGCTGTTTGACCATAACCACGCTTCCTAAGTATTACAGTTGAACCTGGCTTTATTGCGTTATTTGGTAGAATACATAGTACTGACGTTTCCTTTTTTTTCTAAGAAGATAAAGTAATAGACAAAATGGGGAAAATTTTCCTCTGAATATATATATCCCTTAATATTTGTTAACAAGTTCTTGCTCATCACTCATAATTGTCAGATCTTAAAAATGTGCAAAATACATCGCCATTAATAGAATGAAATCTGATCTGTATCTGGATCATATTCATTCTTTAACAACTTTCTTCACTTAACATTTGGTTAAACAATGCAATTATTACTGCAGATATTTAACTATCCTTTTATCATGCTATTCTTTTCACCTACATTTTCTTGTCTCTTATTGAAAAAATACTTTATATGCTATTGATGTAATGAGGTGACACTTTTAAGCTAAGTTCAGAAATGTCCTTGATCAACCATTAAACATAAAATGTGAAATTATGTTATACTGTCATGAACGACAGCTACTATAATCACTGGTTCCTCTTTTAATAGAGTTTCATTAATTAAATGTAAAGTCTACCACTGGCCTTATAAAAGTGTTCATCTGTTTTTCCAATTACATTAAAATTAAAAGTGAGATTTGGTATTAATTAAGAACCTAAAATTTAGGGATAATCTTAATCTCAAACATTATTTCTATAGTGAACATGTAGATGACTCTTAATTCTGCTTAGTAATAAACACAGTGTTGAAAAATGATAAGGTGAAATATATCATTTTAAGTAAAATACATGAGCTCTAGTGCAATCACCCATGTTCAACTTGAATTCTCTCAAACTGGGTGCAAGTAAGATGAGAGGCTCAACAGCTTGAAATAACTTTAGGGGGCTTTAAATTTTTACATTGATGTCAGGAAGCTTCATTTTTATTTTAAAAATGTAACAAATAAAATATGATGATAAAAGTTTAAAAAGTGTCATTGAGATTAGTCAATTTAATAGAAAAATGTACCATCATATTCTGAAAATATAAGCTATCTATAAGTTGAATCTAGAATGTATAGGGTAGGTATTTTTAAGAGATCCCAGGCAAACTCAATTTTATTATTTATTTTCATTGCAAGACTCGATAATCACTTGGTGACCTGTGTAGCACAGGTATTTCCCCATTAGATCTGCACTTGTTCTCCTCTAGTGTGCATAAGGTTTAGCCTTAGAACATTGGACCTTTAAAGGGAGCTCTATCTTTGGAGTCTGGGCTACTTGTGACGAGAGTAAATTGGCACACTTTACTGGATAGCTCTTGTGTTCCTGGCAGCACTAGCCTGGCCGACACCTCTAAAAAAAGGCTCAGCTGTCACTCAGGGACCTTTTAACACTACTGTTCCATCCTGCAGTGTCATTTTTCTCATTCTCATGGAGATAATGCTCCCCTGAGACCTCCAGTACTTACAAAATGAAAAAGAACAGCATATACAGGTGAACTCTCACAGTGAGAACAAACAACAACAAAAATCATAAATTCCAATAGCAGAATTTTAAATTGAGTGAAAAAGATGAGGCCTATTATGATGACTAAGTTGAGACAGTGGAAGGAGTATCATATTTTAGAAGCTATCACAACTTTTTAACATGTTCTCTCCTTTCCTGAATAGGCAAAGAAGTGTTTGAAAAACTTTTTAAATTAGATATGGAAAATACATTTCTTTGAAGAGGTGGTAGGGAAGTTTGGGGAAGAATTTATTTACAAACAGGGATTTTATAATTTATGTGTATGTGCATTTCTACAGGCAGTGTATATAAACATGTGAACTGCTTAATGGTCTAAATAAAATAGAATTCCTGGTTAGAGTTACTGGGGTTACCAAATCACCTTCCTTTTAAAAGTACAAAAGAGGAAAATAAAACACGGTCTTTGTAACTTTAGGCAAAAAGGAATCCTGTGATTGAACAGTTAGCAGTGGCTGAAGTGAACTATTGATTTCTTGCAGTTCCAACTGTATATTGTTTTAAAAAGTTAAGCGTTTAATGGTATTATTTCTAATGGTAAATCTGACAGTAAAAAGGCATTACGAGGACATGCTTCTCAATGTCTGGGACTAAGGTAGTCTCATGTTGGATTGATTACAAAAAAAAAAAAAATCTTGAAATTTTCTATGGAAACTTATGGAAGATTTAGGAAAAGACAAATACATTCGTCAGAATATAACGATACAATTCGCCAAGACTCAGTATTCGAAGGAAAGGTGCTGTATTAAAGCCCTTACCTCTTTTTGCATATCAGTCTTGCCTCCAGTTTCCCACATCAGTCAAAACTTATTGAGTTTACAATGTCATTCTCAGGCTGATCTTTGCACACTATCACTGTCCCTACCATCTCTCCCCAGAGGCTACAAATTCATGACATATTCGTCTGGAAATCTAGTTTTCATTTCTTGTTTTAAAAGTGTTTAGTGACCTTCCCTGGTGGCGCAGTAGGTTAAAGCACAGCACTAAGAAGCTAAAGCCACTTCAACATGAGTTCCATCCCCGCCGGGGGAGGTCACTATATAGCGTTGAAGACCTCTCCGGACCCGCGCTGCTCCCTTCAGCAGTGTGCTTGTTTGATCTGCCTGTTCTGCTCCCCACTCTGTCTCTGGTGAAGCCTCTCACCACCCCTGCACCTCTGGCCTGTACCCCAGTTCTGTATGCATAAATAAATAAATCCTTAAACAAATATTTTTAAAAAAGTGTTTCTCTTAAACTACCTATAATTTATCTGTACATTACTATGATGTGTTATAAATGATATATTATGGAGATGGATAAAAAATTGATACAAATTTTAAAATTTAAGAAAAAGACTGAAGAAATATTAGTAAGAATATGTTTGGCTTAGCCTATCAGAACTTTCATGTGCTAATCATTTCCTTTATTCTGCTCTCCCATAAAGAGGTTTGAGATAGTGGATAGCCGAAGAAGGGACTCTGGTTATTGTTTCAGCGACAATTCTGGCTCAAAATGGATGACTAATTTTTTCCATTTAAAATATATGTATTTTTAAAAACTACTCATATTTTCAATTTTACAGTAAGAAATAAATACAAATTAATCTACCCAAGCCTGCGGCAGATGGCGGGGTGGGAGGGCGTGGCTCTTTGGTCATTGTGGCGTCATGAGCGTTCTGTGCTGACGCTGACGATGTCGTGACCAATACGCCAGGAGACTTCATCACAGCGTAGGTCCGTCCAGATTTTGACCGTGAGACCTTGGAGAGCTGTGCGCTCCATGAGGAAGATGCTGGCTGCTGCTGTCTCCCGTGTGTTGTCAAGTGTCTCCCAGAAGCCGGCCCGCAGAGTACTAGTGGCTTCCTGTAACTTCAGCAATGACGCTAAATTTGAAATTAAGAAATGTGATCTTCACCGGTTGGAAAAGGGTCCCCCTGGCACAGCAGTGTTAACCAGGGAGGATGGGCTCAAATACTACAGGATGATGCAGGTTATTCGTAGAATGGAATTGAAGGCAGATCAGCTATACAAACAAAAATTTATTCGTGGTTTCTGTCACTTGTGTGATGGTCAGGAAGCTTGCTGTGTAGGCCTTGAGGCTGGGATAAATCCAACTGATCATGTCATCACCTCCTATAGGGCTCATGGTTTTTGCTATACTCGTGGAATTTCTGTCCGAGGAATTCTTGCAGAATTGACAGGAAGACGAGGAGGTTGTGCTAAAGGTAAAGGTGGGTCAATGCATATGTATACCAAGAATTTCTATGGAGGTAATGGCATTGTTGGCTCTCAAGGGCCCCTGGGAACTGGTATTGCTTTGGCCTGTAAATATAAAGGAACCGATGAGGTCTGTTTGACTCTGTATGGGGATGGTGCTGCTAATCAGGGGCAGCTATCTGAAGCTTACAATATGGCAGCTTTGTGGAAATTACCTTGTGTTTTCGTCTGTGAGAATAACTTCTATGGAATGGGAACATCTGTTGAAAGAGCCGCAGCCACCCCTGAATACTACAAGAGAGGAAATTTTATCCCTGGATTAAGAGTGGATGGAATGGATGTTCTCTGTGTTCGGGAAGCAACTAAGTTTGCAGCTGATTTTTGCAGATCTGGAAAGGGACCCATCCTTATGGAGCTGCAAACATACCGTTATCATGGGCACAGTATGAGTGATCCTGGAGTCAGTTACCGAACACGAGAAGAAATTCAGAATGTAAGAAATAAGAGTGATCCTATTATGATTCTCAAAAACAGAATGGTAAGCAACAATCTTGCCAGTATTGAAGAACTGAAAGAAATTGATTTTGATGTGAGGAAAGAAGTTGATGATGCAGCCCAGTTTGCCATAACTGATCCCGAACCACATTTGGATGAACTAGGCCATCACATTTACAGTAGTAATCCTCCTTTTGAAGTTCGTGGCACAAATCAATGGATTAAATTTAAATCTCTAAGTTAAAGGAAAACTGTATGTAAACTTAATTTTAGTCCAAGGATGTTCCTACAAAGTCCTACTTATGGTTAACTTTAAGAAATGGTCACCAACTTGGAGGAATAAAATCCATAAAACATTAAATCTTGTAAATTTATTAAAATATATTAAGATATTATAAGAAATGACGGCAGGATATATGATGTACTCTCAACAGGGAGGTGTACATTGGTGCATTAAACAATACATCACACTTAATAGTTTAATGTGTTGTTGAGAGGTAAATAGACCATTTCAATTTGTGAAGTTTGGATGTACTTGGATTGCAAATCAGGCAACAGTGATCCCAAGATTAGGAGCCATTGACAAAGCTAGGGGAAGACATTTTTATAAAGAAGCAAATTTAGATCATTATTTGATTATTTTACTTGGTTGTTTTATTTGGGAAGCCTCATTGACTGTTTTGGTAAGTTATTCATAAATTTCATAGATTTTGAGTGCCCTGCCTGGTTTGGGTTTAAATTGTTTATGCAGTATACCAAGACATGGATGGAACATTCATCTGTCTGGCTTTTTGTTTATTTACTGAAATCAATATCTTATACATTATTTTCAATTTCTGTACAGGTTAGAGGTGTGAGGGGTAAGAGGATTCACCAGAGAGTAGGGAGAAAAACAGGTAGATTGATTGAAACACACAGCTGAGGGGAGCAGTGGGTGGGTCAGGAGTGGTCTGCTGTCCCATGTATACAGGTCTCTCTCTGTCTGGGGATTGAACCTGGTGCTGCAGTGGCTGCGGACAGCTTCATTGTGCTGCACTTTAACATGTTTCACCACCCAGGAGAGCCCTGCATTTTGCTTTAACTTTCAAGTTACTCTTGTTTGTACTGATTTTGTCTTCCATATTATTTTTTTTTATTACTTACTTTAACAAAATATGTTGAAAATTTTCCAATTCAGAAGTTATGGAACAGCCATCATGACGTTAAAAGGAGTTCAACAGAATAGGTGACATTAATAAAAAGTTGACAGTAACTCTGCCTTAGCTTAACATTCACAGATAGTTTTTTCAAAGGAACATTCTAATGTGGATTACACAGATTTAATTTTAGCTACTGTCCATCATGTCAATTAGTCATGACTTTGTAAAAACATCCGTAGTTGGTTATATTTAACTAATGACACATAAAATCCAATTGAAAGTGATGCATGCATCAATTATTAAGATAGATTTGCTGAAGTAAGAAATCAGAATTTACCTATGGCATAATCATTTGTAGGAAATGGCAAAAACAAATGTTAAATAGTTTTAAAATACCACAAACATTTGCAAACTATGTGTGATGATTATATACAGATATTAAGTCACTATATTGTAACCCAAATCTAATATCATGTAAAGTATATCCCACTTTTTAAAAGACTTAAACCTTTTTTTTTACAGCATCATCTTCTACAAGAATTCTAGCAAAATCCAAAGTTTAGAAGCCTTTGGAAAAAAAAAATATATATATATATTATACATACATATGGGCAGGCTTCATTTCCATACCTTTCTCTAAACAGTTTGATGCAAGTAATATAACCTCAACTTTCTAAACTTAGAAAGCAGAGAAAAGCATTTGTTTGCTTATAAATCAGTGATATTAATAGCTAACATACTTTGGCTATGCATATTCAGGTTCGGTTCAGAAGTGCCTTAACTGGATATCTCCCATTAAAAACAAAATGTGTTTCCTGAAACATTAAAAAAAATCACAGTGACAATTTTTCCTCATATCTTTATTTTGAAGTTTATATTTCCATAAACTTGAAAATGGAAGGAAAGCTGCTCAATTTAAGTTATATTTGCATATAACATATACAACTCATTTTAAATAGCCATTTATATTAAGAATTGTTTTAAAGATTTATTCATTTATGCATATAGAACTGGGGTACAAGCCACAGGTGCAGAGGCATCGAGAGGACAGAGTGGGGAGCAGAACAGGCAGATTGACAAAGTACACTGCTGAGGGGAGCAGCAGGCAAGAGAGGAGAAAAGTGTTGAGCTATGTGCGTCAATTCTGTGGCCAGGAATGGAACTCGTGCTGAGGCAGACAGGCTTGCTTTGAAATGTGCTTTAATCCATTGCACCATCAGAGAGGGGCCTATATTAAGAACACTCTGAATATAATTAAAAATCAAGACAGGAATGCCTTATAAAAATGAAAGTATCACGAAACAGCAGTTAGGGAAATACATCTTTTTTAATGATAATTATAATTCTAGTACGTCTAAATGAAGTATACTTCATTTCAGTCTAAAAATACCTTATTATTAGTCTTGTTTTAGAGGAATAAACACAATTGTCAAAACATATATTATTAAATTCTATTAAGTCAGTAAGTTTTTAGTGTTTTCATATTAAAAAAAAAATCTAGTCATCTGTGTATATATTTGGGAACTAAAATAACACCATAATTCTGTAATGCTAGAAAACCAAAAGCAACCCACCCTCCTGTTTTCAATTAGGTCAGACAATAAATTAAGAATAGCCTGGCCCTCCCTGGTGGCAAAAAGGGTTAAAGTGCAGCACTGAAAGTTAGCAGCAGCTGCTTCAGTGTTGGTTCGATCCCTGAATCTGGAGGTGACCCACACGAAACAGTAAACACCTCTTGTCTCACCTGATGCTCCACTCAGCAGTGTACTCTTTCAATCTGCCTGTTCTGCTCCCCACTCTGTCTCTGCTAATTCCTGTCACCACCTCCGGCCTGTACCCCAGTTCTGTATATGTAAATAACTATAATTTTGGAAAAAAAATCGATTTTTTGGAAAAAAAAACTTTCAATCTGTAATGTATAGGAAACCAGTATTTGGATTCCATTTATCCATTTCCTGCTTATAATTAGTTATTCTACAAGGGTAAACAACATGGGTAGTTGCAGAAAAGAAAAAGCTTAATAAAGATATATACAAGGAATATTTAGACATGCTAGAATTATAATTATCATTAAAAAAAGATGTATTTCCCTAACTGCTGTACAAAAACAAAGAGCACCTAGAGTAAAATTTAAACTAATGATTTATTTGCGAGAACTAATTCTAAAAATATTAATTATAAAAGATATAAAATTGTTCCTTTTAATTGAATATTCATATGTTTTTAGTTTATTCAGTTTTGCAACCATTGCCTGTTGCTAATTCCAGAACATTTTAACATGTTAAAGAGAAAAATCTATCTCTATTTCTGGTCACTACCCTTTTTTCCATATTTTTATTCTCAAACTGTTAATTTCTGTTTCTTGACTTGCCTATTAGGGACACTTCCCAGAAATTATACAATGGGTTCTCTTTAGTATATGACTGCTTTCACTGAATATAATGTTTTGAAGTTTTGTTGTAGTAGATGACAGTACTGTATTGTGTTTAATTGTTGAATGAGATCACATTCTATGTTTTCATCAGTCAGTGGGCATTTGAATTTTCCCACTTTTTGGTTATCAAGTGTCAAAAGAGGTTTGTTAAGAAAAAAGGCCAGTCCGTTCCTTAAAAATACGGAGAGAGTGCCCCTCTGGTGGTGCAGTGGGCTAAAGCAAAGTACTAAAGAAAGAAACTAAATCCACTTCAGCATGACTTTGATCCCTGCCCCAGGAGGTAAAACACATGGCGCAGCAGACCTCTCCTGTCTTGCCCACTGCTCCCCTCAGCAGTGTGCTTCCTTAGTCAAAATGTTCTGCTCCCCAATTTGTCTCAGGTGAATCCTTTTACCACCCTTGCACCTCTGGCCTGTACCCCCAGTTCTGTATGCATAAATAAATAGACCTTTAAAAAAATTAAGACAATAGACAATTTAAACATCAAGCCAAAACAATGCAATATAACCTCTTATGATACAGCTCATTAGATAAAATAACTAGAAGATGTGTTAAAATAATTGTAGTCTGGGCCCTCCCTGGTGGTGCAGCGGGTTAAAGCATTGCACTGAGAAGCTTGAGCCACTTCCACATGAATTCGATTCCCGCCTGCCCCGGAGGTGACCACGTGGTGCGGCAGACCTCTACTGACCCGCCCGCTGCTCCCCTCAGCAGTGTACTTCCTTGGTCTGCCTGTTCTGCTCCCCACTCTGTCTCTGGTGAATTCTCTCACCCTCCGCATCTCTGGCCTGTACCCCAGTTCTGTAAAAATAAATAAATCTTTAAAAAAAAATTTGTAGTCTGAATATATACTGGCATGGATGCATTGTATATGTAATATATTATGTATGTATATATATTATAAATAATATAGCCTACTGTTCAAATTTAATTTTGATTTTTTAAAAAGATTTATTTGTTTTTTAATAGTTTATTTTTACATATTTTTGTGCATTTTTCCATCTCAGTTGCAATCCCCTTGAGTTTCCCATCGCCAAATCCCCATGTGCCATCACCATAGTCTAGTGTATCTCCCTCTCCCCACCGTTTTTGATCCCATTTCCCATTCCAGAGCTATACATCACAAAATGTCTCTGGTATATATCTGTTTATCATTATCATTATTTTCTTGCTTGTTCCATTGTATTTCACTATGAAAGAAACCATCTGGTATTTTTCCGTTTCTTTCTGTCTTATTTCACTAAGGATGATCTTTTCCAGATCCAGATCCATCCAAGTTGCTGCAAAAGACCTGTGGTTTTTTTTTTTTTTTTTGGTTGCTGAGTAATATTCCATTGTGTATATGTACCACATCTTTTTAATCCAGGCATCCATTTTTGGGCATTTGAGCTATTTCCATGACTTTCCAATTGTTTTTGTGTCTTTTGGGTAGATACCTAGGAGTGGGATTGCTGGGTCGTAAGGAAGCTCAGTGTTTCAACAGTGATTGTACTAATTTGCATCCCCACCAGCATTGCAGGAGAGTTCCTTTTTCTCCCCATTTGCTGCTGCTAGTTGTTTGAAGATGTGTCATTCTCATTGGGGTGAGGTGGTATCTCATTATGGTTTTAATTTGCATCTCCCTTCTAACAAGTGATGTTGAGCATTTTTTCATATGCTTCTTGGCCATCT